CCCCCCCCCCCCCTCCTCCCCTCCTTGTCACTGCCATATGAGGTATCGGGCCTCACCGCACCAGTCACCGAATGTGAAAAAGACAAGTATTGTGGGTGTATCTCTCCGCATTCTAGCGGGAGGTACATTCTCATTTTGCACATTTGGTGAGTGTTACGGTGATGCGCATCGTCTCAAACTTTCCTTTCCGCATCTGAGCAACCTCTTTTTTTTTTTCTTTTTTTTTTTTTGTTTGCACTGTGATCCGGCCCAGTATCTGGTCTGGGATCTGGCATGGGACTGCACACCGCCAGTCATAGGCACCCCAGGCACCTGCGCTGGTACCCTAGCCGATTGCTCTACTCGTCTCAAAATTTCCTGAAAGTTTCTTGAGTATTCTCAAATGACCTCAATTTTCCTCAAATATTCTAACACTTTTCTCACATCTGAAAATTTTCGCAGTTCCCTCACTGCTCAATTTCCTAAGGGAAAAAAATTAAAAAATTAAAAAATTGAAAAATTAAAAAATTAAAAAATCATTTGTGTGACTCCTCTGTGTATGATCAAAACTTTTTTTTTTTTTTTTTTTTTTTGATCAAAACTTTTGCATGGCACCGATGGCAGTTATTAACAATCTGCCAATCTCTCAAGTTTTGAATTTCCTAATTTTTTCCCGCATGTGCATACGATCAGATCCGGCAGCGATGGATTCGAGTGCAAATCAACAATCCTGCTGAGTACTCAGGTGCATCTCCGTATTGGGTACGTATGCCTGTCATACATGCCACAACTTACAACATGTCAGTTTTTTTAACTTTTTTAAAGTTTTTTTCCCTTTTTTTTTTCAAATTAATTGTGTGGAGATATAATCGGGAAAGAAATCAAGTGAGGAGAAAACTGAGTCCTTTCGGAAGATGTGATCAACCAACCAAACCACACCAACACATAGCCCTGAAATTCCCCCCCTCCTCCCTCCTCCCTTCCCTCTGCACCCTTTCCACATCATAGCCTTCTCCCTGCTTTCCCTCCTGCCGCCCGAACACTGTGAACAAACCGGTGGAACGAAAGCGAAAACGAAAACACAACCCGGTGGAAAAACGGTTCGGGGTGGACAAAACGAAGGCCGACGGCCGCCCGCGCTGTGAGCAAACTGGTGGAAAACCGGTTCTGCGCGCGCCCTGCCCATCGATCCGTCCCATCCGACCCCCTGCTTACCGGACTTACACACACCCTGTAAGTAAGCCAGAAGATAAGGTAGCAGATAAGGTAGCAGATATGGAAGCAGAGAATGTAGCAGGTAAGGTAGCAGGTAAGGTAGCAGGTAAGGTAGCAGGTAAGGTAGCAGCTAAGGTAGCAGACAAAATAGCAAATCTGGTAGCAGATATGGGAGCAGATAAGGTAGCAGATATGGCAGCAGATAAGGGGGGAAAAAAAAAAAGGTACTCGCAGATAAGGTAGCCGATAAGGTAGCGCAGGAGGTGGGCGTAAGTATGGTAACAGATTAGGGTTTAGATATAGGGCCTCGCTGCACTACTCTCGAAATGTGCATAACGAGAGTGAATCTTCCGCTAGAACATGGAAAGATACGCGGCCATGATTTTTGTCTTTTGTGCATTTCAAGAGTAGTGCAGCGAGGCCCATAGGCCGGCATTCTATGTTTCAATGTGTGCGCCTGCTGGAATCATTCACCTGTTGAAGGGCATACTCACATATGAATCTGACTGCAATCTCGTCCAGAGCTTGGTGGAAAAAGTCAGAGTGTGAGTATGGTGCGCATAGAAACGAGTTTGTGGGGCAGTTGAGTGACCCAAATCCTGCCGTGCACTACTCGTGATCCCACCGTCAGTATTTTACAGGTACCCGAAAAAGTTAGGAGATCTTCGTTCCCCTCCTCCTCTCCTTAACACTGGGCATGCCCGTGCAAAGACAGCTTCCCGCCAGAATCTTTTCAATCGGTTGGGGGTGTGGCCAACCGCAAACGAGGTTGGGGTCGGCCTTAGCCCACTGGATAAAAGATTTTCAGCATTTTACTTGCTGTTGTGCAATTATCTCATTGGGTGGAGCCCTCCTTCAATCACGGAGTATATGGAGGGTGTCAGGATCACTGCTGTCAGAAGTCGAGTTTATTCCAGAAAATGTGGCGGTTACTTTGTTCACTGTTTTTGCAACCACCACCATCAGATCATTTGTGATCTGATGGCTGGGAAGCACKCTGCYGTGATTTCSGGTGGGAGGTCTCTGTTTCTTYTTTTTTTTTTTGGCCTTTTTCCTGTTTTCTCAGCCCAGAAATTCGTAATGAACTTGTCTGGCCGCTGCCACTCAGTGTCACACTGGATCGGCCACACTCCTATCCGACTGCTAATGGGACCTCGCCCCAGAGGTTAACCCCTTTGGGCCCCTCCTTGAGAAAAGCACAAAAAAGAAAGGAACCTAGTATGCGCACCTCCAGATTCATCGTTCTCAGGGCACTTCACACACTAGGACATTTTCACCAATTTCTGGAGGTAATTGCGGCCAGATACATCCAGGTCCAGCTGTAAATGTGGTCAGATACATCAAGAAAAGTGCTAGTGTGAGTACCGCCTCAGTCTCTATGACAAGCGCGATGGTAAGTCGAGGAGATTCCAGGCAAGTAGGATGTTGCCCCTGGTATTTTCCCTTTTGCCTGAGAGCGACCAGAGCCATCTGCATCTACCCTGTCTAGGTGACCAGGTGCTCATGAATGCACCTGGATGTCTTCATCATGCAGATGCAGAACGCATGGGTTTATCTCAGGCAAATGGGCAAGAAGGCCAAAGGTGGTCGTGTGAAACTCCATACTTGTAAAAAATAAATAAAAATTAAAAAAAATAAATACTTGTGCTTTGAACAACATGCATCCAAGTCTAGTGAAGAGTGTTTCTTTTTTTTCTTTTTTCTTTTATTTTTCTTTTCCTCCATCGTTTTGCATATAGAGTTGTGGACCTCGTGGGACATTATGGGCCTCTCTCCACTACACAACATCCAAAATGTAACTGCTTTGAAGACCAAATACACTAGGATTGACCAAATGTTTCGAACGTATCGGGGCCATTGCCCGCTCCAGATACATCTGAAATGTTGTGTAGTGGAGCGAGGTGCCCTATCAGTCGTTAAATGAACATTTGTGCATTCTTTTTGAAAGCTTTTTTCTAGGCTACCAGAGTGGCCCGGGGACCTTGTCCCACTTCGTCCGTTGAGCTAGGTCCACGTTTAGTTTTCTACGCTGTGCGACTGTAGGAGATGCACTTCCTCGCAATCATCCAGTGGTCCACTCTTTTTGTAATTGTGAATAGATCTTATCGCATTTTTTATTCCAACAAAATAGTTCCAAAAATGACCTTTTCTCGAATGCTACGCCCCCTACCCTCGCCACTTTCGGTTGAGCTAGCAGTCTCCTTTTTTGGAGACAGCCAGTTCAACGACCTTTGGCGTCCTTTCTGGAGTTTTTTTTTTTTTTTAATGTTATTTTATTATGTTTTGAGAAACCTGTGAAGTCGCTTGTACTTTGCTATTTTCGTGCAACTTTTGAAGGACCGAATAATATGCGTGAACTACGGGCAATTTGGTGCGACCTTTGGTGTGGAATGGCCATGGGATTGGAGGGCTATACTCCTGGGGTACTACCTGCAAATTCGGGAGAATATCTATGAGGAGAATATGTTCAACCTGGGAAGAAGGAGCGTCCTATGGACTATATGGTGGAAGAGATGTATCCTCGAGATAGAAGGAGCGCGGGTGGAAGACGGAGAAGTTATGGAACAAATCAGGACATTATTCCAACACGAAATTGCGACCCAATGGAAGGCTGTTAAAGACAAGCTTGACCAAATGCACAACTGGGGGGACATAACAAAGCTATTTCTTGCTTCGGCAAGAAATGGCTGGGAAAGGAAAGGGAGGGATGGGTGGCCGAGTTAAAGTTGTCCAGAAGTGATCTGTCTGAGAAGGGGCCACAGGAGGAACCCGGGTTAGAGATAGAAAGGGATTATCGGCTGGTCTTTCATGATTGGACCAGTGTAGACCCGGGTGAAGCATTACGGGCAGCTCAGGAATTCACAGACCCCTTCCCCCCCCACCCACTCTCCTTAACAGAAATCCTGCTGCCTGCATAACCTCCAACAGTTTGTCAAAAGACCCCAGCTGAAGAGTAGCGGGGAGATGGGACGCTGGACCCGGTTTCCAGCACTTTGGCGTCACTCTTGGTCAGGTACAGTGTAGCAAAGGTTTTCTTCAGTATTCTTCTATAGTGATCCTGGCTTATTTTGGCTTATTTTGGCAGATTTTACTACAGCCTGTTTTCTGGTGCTTCAGCCTTTCAAACACATACTATGGTAAAGTACAAGGGTCGTCATGAGGATAGCTGGTGGATGGCAGAGGCTAGGGGACGGAGGGAGACTCCACTGGTGCCCCCCGGTGGTCTCCCCCCCCAATACCCGGCCCTGCTGCAGGCTAGGTATGGAAGAGTAGAGTGGATATGGGACGCTGGACCCGGTTTCCAGCACCTTGTCGTCACTCTCATTATGGTACTGTGCAGCAAGATGTAATTATGGGACGCTGGACCCAGTTTCCAGCAGGTGTCGCTCCCCACCAATAGATGGAGGTGCCCGCTAGGCAAAGCCTCAATCCCGGTGGTTCTCTTACCACCACCAGGATAGAGGTCTTGCGCAAAGGACCACATATGCGTCAACTACGGGAGTAGGGGAACTCTTCATAGGGTCGGAGTGACTCTTCGGACGTCATGTATGCGACTCCAATTGTGGAAAACAAAAAAAAAGAATGAATTGTATCTTAGGTGGATTTTTTAATGCATTTCTGAATTTGTGGGACAAGGTCCCGGGACCACTTGCTTGGCCGTGCAAAAAAAAAAAAAAAAAAAAAAAA